ACAAAATCCAACTTCTTTTTAGACAGTTCTCTTTCTGCTTTTTTTAGTATTTCTCTTGTTATTCGCAGGAGTGCCACTTCATTTGGATTCTGTCTTGTAAGTACTGTGACAATATTGTCTTCTCTGCTAAGTATTGTATATGCCTTACTTGTCTCATTAAAGAAAATTTTATTGTGCATACTATTCATCACCTTATATGCCCTTTTTGTAAAAATTGCATTAAGACTTCTTCTGTATTCTTCTGACAGATTTCTATTCATATTGCACAACTGTTTTTATATGTTTCTATGTTATGTGTTGTATCTAGATTAAGCTAGTTGATGTATGTATTTGTTTGTTTACTTTGCTTGTACTAGTGCAGTTTCTTGTAGAACTTGAAGGATCTACAGTACAGGGTTTTGGCAATTCCCCAATTTTCCAAACAAAAAAAATTTTTACTTTTTATAAAAAGTTTTCTATATGCTGTTTTTTGTTGACTTTAAGACTTCTTTTCATATCTTCTATTAGACTATATGTAATTTTTGATGCTTTGTCTTTTTTGTTAGTACCTCAAGTCTTGTTTTCTAGTCTATTTGTTGAGTTTTACTAAGTTTTGCTTCTTAGAAATTTTGGTCGAAGGATCTGCAAGGAAGAGTTAATATGATTAACTTTAAAATTATTCAACTTTTTAAATAACTTGGTATTATATTTGCATCTAACCCATTATATAATATCTTATATACTGTTTAAGAAGAATCTATTTCACTTAAATCACTACTTTTATTATATTCAAAATACTCAACTTTTAAAAAATAACTTAAATCAACTAACTACATTTGACAACTCATGTTTTTTTAAATTAAAAACACATATTTATATGCATAAACAAAATTTTTAAAGGCAAACAACTATTTTAATTTAATTGTTTAAAAGATTAAACTACAAATTATTTATACAATTATATTCTCTATTAATATTTATACTTGTCTAATACAAACTATTATAGTTATTCAACTGGATACTTTTTTTTATAAAAAAAATCATGGCTTATTATAGTACTTAATGATCAAATTATTACTAGCAAAGCCAGAAAACAACTTATTTTTTTAAAACTATTCTTATTACTCACTGACAATATCACATAGAACAACAATTTACTTATCTATATCTACTTTTACCTATCTAATTACAAGTATGCTCAGGTTATTTTTTTAACTATTATACAATTGCTAATAAATATACAATCAATATTCCTATTAATCTCTCTTTTAGATTTTTTGGTTGAATTAATATATATAACAAAACTCTTAACTTTAATGCCAATCACCTTGATTTCATATACTCTATTGCAATTTAACATTCTATTCAAATTTCTAATTCTCTTAATATTAACATTACAATGTACTTAATTCTAATTATATTTGAACCTAATACTTTAACAAACAACTTTTAATAAATTACTAACTACAATGCACAACTATCAGAACTTTATTTTTATACTAATGGCTTAGTCATTAATCTGAGTACCTTACAATACTCTATGGATATCAGATAGACTCAAATTTTAAACAATAATTACTGTATACATTTTAAGCCCAAACAAGATACTGGTTTTGCTTATTTAAGTCTGAGCTCACTGTTATCTTATTAGCTCTTATTACTGCTTCTAAAAACTGTATTATACATATATATACTGATTTACAGTCTGTAATTTCCAAATATTATAATTTTTCAAACTCAACTTATACTCTATTCTATATATATACATTATATTTTTTATTATAGAATATACTTATTAACTTTGTTAAATTATACAATATCTATATTATTTTTTATAAAGTCATTGCTTACCAAGATGATTAATATAATAACCTTGTTATTACAATTTGCTATATCTTACTTTTATATTTTATAATATTTACAATTCTATATATACTTTAAACTTTGAAAACTTTTTTTTAAAATTACCTACTTGTCACAATATTTATACAATATGTTATACATATATTTATGCATTATGAATTACACAAAGCTGTTTTTAAAAATAGTACAAAATCTTTAACCAAGTTAATTAGCAAGCCATCTGGCTATATATCAACAATAATCAAAATTTTCAAACTTTTTGTACAGCTTTCAGTCCTTTATTCTTAAATTCTTAGAATTAAAATTCTACTAAATAATCTTTTTACTCTACATATTTTATACAAATAAAATCATATATACTCAACTATCTGTTATCAATATTATCAAATTAGTTTTCATCTTTACTAAACAACTTGTTTATCTAATTAATTGCTATACAGTTTTATAGACATTTTATTACAATATACTTTAAATACTAAAACACTTGATACTACTTTAAATACTATAACCAATTTATATAACCAAATTAAGCTGTTGAGTAATATGATTATTTATAGTATACCAGACTTATTTTTAGTCTTTTCAACTTTAATAAGTTTAATATCAAATGAACTCATTAACATTATTGCAAGTTTGTTATCTAAAAAAATAGCCACAATATTTGTTATCAAGTTCTTTATCTTAATTAACAAATCTATTATAAAATCTGGATTTCATACTGTATCTCAAGATCTATAGCTCAACTTTCTGAATATGACACACTTTCAAATACTGCTTTATTTTCATCACATTTTTTCTCACTTAACTCAATTAGTTCAAAAATAAACTTTTAGTATATTTAATAGATTAAATATCAAACTAATCTCTTATATATAATTACTAACACTCAAATCTAGGTAAGTCTTGTTTATTCTGGTTGGTTTAGATTACAGATAAATTAATATAAGCTTTTATTCTTTCTATAATGTTTTAAAAATAGAATTGTATTTTATATAAAATCTTAATTAAATATTTAATAAAGATAGAGGCATAACCTTATTATTAATATTAAATATATATATATATATATATATAAAGAAGTAAAAATTAATATAAATACTATTGAGATATAGGTTTATTGCAGATTCTAGACCATTATTAAAAAACCTTAGAGAAAACAAAAACAGATATACCAAAGATGAAAGGTCATAAAAATCAGATATATCTGAATAAGACTAATTTAAGAGTAGTATAGTAACAAAAAAATAAAAAATATAAAAAACAAGATATTACTAAATATAGTTAGATTTGAAGATAAAAGAAACAAGATCAGATAAAAACATATGAATAGAACATATAGATATGATTACAGAAAACAATATTTTTGGCATTAGAGTATTATATTAAGTTGTGAAGGTATCTTTGTCTATGTAGTAGTTTAATAGTATGCCTTGACTGCAAATAGTAGCTAAAGGCAACTGCATGCAAACATGCAACAGACACAGACTTAGGTGCTATATAGGTAACCAGATGAAGTCAGTAGAATGAATTAGAATAACTTAGAATAGCTATATAGTACTAAATAATCCTATAACTATAATTGTACTATAAAAATTAAGTCTAATAAACTAATTGGCAGTGTTGCCAAAGTTCAAAATATATATACATATATATAAATACTAAAAAAAAAGTTATAAAAATATAATTAACAGAAATAAAAATAAAGTTAGTTGTAAAAAAAATATAATTAATATAAAAAAGTTAAACTATAATAAAAGCAATTAAAAAAATATATAATAAAAAATAAATATTTAGAAAACATATTTTGGCTTAATAAAAATTTTTATTTATAATAAATTTAAGTTATTTGTATAATCTTTTAAGCTAGTTTAATATAATCTTTAGATTTTTAAACAGTATAGCAAACTGTTTTTAAATACTTATATAAATATTTAAAAAATTTAAATTAAAAAATTTAAGTTAAAATATATATAATTTATATTTAAAAATTTTTATAAAATTTTATTTTTTTTATTTTTTATATATATTAAACTAGCCTCTTTATAGCTAGAGCTTTTTATTCAGTAGTTAAAATATAAAAACTCATATCTAAGATTTTAAAAGAGTCTTTTTATATTAAAGAATACAACTAGTTACACATATACTTTTGGTATCTAATTTAAGTAGTTTGCTGATAGTTTTATATTAGTTGCTATACTTGCAATTCAACTAGAAGCATTGTTTATTTAAATATTTTATATTGCAACTCTTACTGTATTATTAAATTATCTTTGTTATATATGTTAGTTAAGAAGGTTTAGATGTTTATTTGTATTCTCGGAATTTTATATCTTATTTTATATAATATATTCTCAAACTAGAACCTTTTGTATCTTATATATAACTAATCTAGTTTTATATAACACACTATAGTTATCTAATACTTGTAGTCAAAGCTAACCTTTAACTACTACATTATACTATTTTCTATTCTTGTAAAGTTTACCCAAACCCTAGTACCTATTTTTCTAACATCTTCTTTATTATTTTCTATTAACTACAACTTAGAACTAGCAAACTTTGATTAGACTACCAATTCAAATAACTGGATATAATATATTTTTGTATCTTTTTTTTTAGCAAGTCTAGTTGGTTATATGCTTTTTTATATATATTTGGCATTCAGTTTATCTAACTTGTTTTTATGAAAATGTTTTGTAAACTTTACTTAGTTTGATAATATTATCAAAAGTTTATGCTATCTCTTTACTTAAGAATTTCTAAGTAGGTTTCTATTATCTTGGTTTTTTAGTCTTTTATATCTGATAGTTTTATTATAGAATTGCACTGAAGTCTTATGTAATACCAGTTATTAACATTTCTCTAAATACAGTTGAACCTCTATAATTGCACCCTCTTAGAACCAACTATAAAAGATTATTTATAAAGAGTATGCAATTAAAGAAAAATAAAAGTTTTATAATAAATTATATTATATATTATTATAATCTATTAATACTCTGTTTTTTATTTCAAACTATATATATTTATATATACTATTAATGAAAATATATATCTATATTAGTTTGCATCATTGAACTAATTTTTTTCTTTCTAATAAAATTTTCAAAACTATTTGTTTGTTTTAATTGCCTACCAATCTCAACATTTTCATCTTGTTAAAGTAAAAACAATCTAACACTATTCAAATTTTCTAATGCTGCATTAGCACTAATAATTGGTAATTCATTACTATCATTATTTTCATCTATATTATCTGTTTTATTTGATTCATTAGCATTTTCAGAATTAAACACACCAACAAGCTTTTCAATAATTTTATCATTACTAGAAACTTCATAGATCACATTTTCACCTGGAAAGTTCAAAAACTTATCAACACTCATTGCATTAGAAAAAAAATTAAGAACTTCAATAAGTTGGTTGTGTGCTGGATTATCATTTCTAAATAGTAAATAAATATAAATATAAAGTTAAAATATATTGATCTCGATAATTAAAATTCATATGATTAATAATTTAATAAGTTATTACCTGATTTGTAATGAATTAGTGCTAAGAGAAAGGATCTTTGTTTTGTGCCAACAATTTTTAATCGTTTCAATAGTGACTTCTTCCCAACCCTTAATTTTATAACAGATAGCCTGGAGAACATTTATCTTCAAGTCTTGGATTAGTTCACCCCCTTCGACCCTCTCTAAAATCTACCTAAATATTAGTTATTCATAATAGATAGCATTAAAATAGCAAATTAAGATTAAAATAAAGGTAAGCAAACAAGTAATTGTGTTCATAAGTGAAGCGAACGATGAATTCATAGATTAATAAATTAACATAGGGTAGGTAAATAATAATTTTTATAATATATGCAAGCGAAGCAAACAATTAATAGATTAATAAATAAATAGATGAACGAATGAACAAATTAATGAATAAACAAATGAATGGATGAATTGACAATAGGTTAAGTAAATTAAAATTAAGTTTATAATATATATGAGCGAAGCAAACAAATTAATAGATTAATAAATAAATAGATAAGCAAATGAACAAATCAATAAATAAATAAACGAAAGATAAATATATAAAATAATAAATTAATGATAGAAGGGTAAAATAAATAATAATTAAGTTTATAATATATGCAAGCGAAGCAAACAAATTAACAGATCAATAAATAAATAGATAAGCAAATGAACAAATTAATGAATAAACGAATGAACAAATGGATAAATATAAAATTAATAAATAGTAAATAAATAAGTAAATAGATTAATAAATAAATGAACTAATAAATTAATAAGCAAATAAATAAATACCAAAGAGATAAATAAGTTGGATAGATAAAAGGTAAACAGATGAAAAGAATTGATTAATTAGTGAATGAATAGATAAATGAGTGAATAAATAGAAGATAAATGGATATAACTGAATGAATTTTGGATAAATTATTAGACAAGTAAAAAAATAAATAAAAATAAATAAATTAATAAAAATTAATAAAAAAATAGAAGAATAATATATGAGTGAATACATACCTGAGTGAGAAAATAAATTAATAGATAAATAATCAATAAATAATTTTATAATTAGATGCACAAATAAATAAATTTAGATAATTGATTGTAAATAAATAGTTATATCGATATATTTAAATAAACATATAAAATAAAAAATAAATGCCTTATTGAAGTTGAAATCAGTGATAATGTTTTTTAAAAGACATTATTATTCCAGCATCTATTGGCTAGATAACCAAAGTAATATGTAAAGGAAGGAAATATATGTTAGTATTATTTAGTTTTATACCAGTAATTTTATAGCTACTATAGTTATCAAGTAAAAGAAGCACTCGTTAATTTTTATATTTTTTTGCCATTTGTGCATCAAAATCTTTCAACCAGTCTTGGAAATGAACTGCAAGCATCCATGCTTTAGTATTGTTATAATATTTGATAGGTAAGTTTTAAATATTAATATTCTTGAAACATCGTGGTTTAGCATATTTTCTGATTATTAATGGGTTTAGCTTATGTGATCCATCTGCATTTGTGCATAGTGCAATTGATAATCATTCTTTATTTTTTTTGCGACCTGAAAGATGTCGTGTTGCTAGTATCTGATCTGGCTCTAACCTGTAATTAAAATAAAAGTTTTAAACAATAATAAAAATCAAAAATTTTAAATAAATAAATTAAAATAAAAATTATAACAATAATAAAAACTGATAGAACAATCCAGTTTGATTCATATTATAAATATGCTCAAAAGGATAATTATTACATTTATTTTGTAAAACTGGTAAAAGTTCTGCAATTGTTGCATAATCTACAGATGCTGCTTCTTCATGAAGTGGAATTTGATAAATTTCATTATGATCTTTAAATTTTTGAAGCCATTCATTAGAAAATTTCAATTAATTTTCAGAAATTTTAAATCTGTTAGCTAATAATTTAGCCTTTTCGATAATTATAGCATCAGTTAAAATTATTTGATCTTGATAAACCAGTACAAATTCTTTTAAAGCAAGTTCTAATTCTGGAAAAATAACAGGCTTATGCCATTTTGCATTTGAGTTTGTTATTTCTGTTGTAAGACGTTTATCTTTAGTTTGAAGAATTCGTGTAATAGTTGCTAAACTAACTTTAATTCCCCATTTGTGTTCAATTCATTTTGCATATTCAGATCTAGTTTTGTTACTATTATCATAAACATATTGACAAAATTCATATTTTTGAATATTTGTTAAAGACTCATTTTTGGGAAGCATCTTAGCGATTAAAGATTTTGTGTTACAAATTGATAATCATTGTCATTTTATATAAAAAATCACGTGCAAGTATGCATTTAGAATTATAGTCCTGAATTAAAATTTTATTAAAGTAGTTTAATTAAAGAGGGTGTACATTTATAGAAAATATTTTAATATAAAAATTTTTAAGATTTTTTTGTATATATAGAATATAGAGGGTATGCATTTATCATTATTGTCCAAGCTTAGAACTAGAATTAAGTATTCATTTAAAGAGGGTGTGCAATTATAAAGAGTGCAATTATAGAGGTTCGACTGTAAACTATTCAAATTAATAAACATTTAATTACATTAATTATTGGTGTCAGTGAATTTTTGTAGCACCTGGGTGACCTGGGTGACCCAGGTAACTCACCTGTAGCATAGTGGACAATCTCTATTACACAAGCCTTCCAGATTTGAAAATTGTGACTCAGTGCTGATCTACTCAATTAAAATACAAGATTTTTATAATATCGACATTATGGGTATGTTATATTATCAGTTATAGTATTTAACTTTTCGCTTCTTGTATTTACTTAATTTACATAATTTACATAATTTCAATTTATACACTGTTTCAAATTTGGGATCTGCCAATGCCTTTACTTTTTTTACTATATGTACAAACTTTCATATTTAGTAATATTAGATATTATAGTATTCAAAGATTTAAGTTATCTTGATGCACAATATGTTACTTAGTTATAATTTATATTTATATGTTTAATAATTTACAATTAAAGAATAGTAGTTTCAAAACTTATGGATTAACTCAAACCACTACAAATGTGTATATATGCAGTCATGCACATCATATAAAAATAAGCAATTACTTATGAATTAGAATGAACTGTAAGTTATTATCAATCACAAATAAATTTTTATATATGAATTATCTAGTAGTTATGTAATTGGAATTGGGATTACATAAATTTGTTATCATGTATATTATATCCAAAATTTTGCAAATAAATAAAATTAACTAGTATTATTAAAAATAAATATTTTTTTTATTGTTGAATAATAAAATGTTTAATTAAAGTATATTGAAAAAAATAACATTAAATATTTATAATATTAGCATTCAAAAATTTTTCAAGAATTGTAGAATAAGCTTGCTCCACTCTCGGTAATGCTTGCTTATCCTTTCAAAGCACCTCCAATATATTATCTTCATTCAATATCTTCTGATTTTGTGAACTCTCTTTGTTAGTTTCAATAAATTCCTTTAGATTCGATTTACTCTTATCTAATTTACTTAATCGTGAAAAAAGAAAAGAAACATTATTTCGTATAACAAGTTTAAGAAAATTTTTACAATAATAACATTTTCCCTTTAATGAAATACTAAAACAGCTCTTATGATATTCATAACTACATGCGATAACCATAAAGCCTTTACCTGTCCCATTGCATAATAGCTTATAACAATGATCGCACTTGTCATATGTTGGTAAATGCTTACTGCTGAATCCTAGTGGCATTTGCTTTTTGTTCACAGTAATGTTCAATGATACTAGCTTGTAGGCAATTTTTTTATCTTGTTTCTTAACAATGGAATTTTGACCAAGCTTTTAATAAATATTACTAAAGATTTCAAGAAGAAATACCTTCACTTTCTTCGTTAATAAAGCCAAATGATCTTTATCTGCATATGTAGATTTTTGCTGAACGATGAATTTATCTTCAAAAGTATTAATCATTATTTTGTCATTAACAATCTTAGCTGTTCTAGAAAGTTGTTGCAGGGTATCACAAGGTGAGATCTGTTGTCGTATTCTGCTATGCATATTTTCAATAGGATAATCTGTAAACTTAACTAAATAATCTGTTAATATATTTAATATTGGATGATTATTCTGATTTCAATAAAATACATCTAAAAGAAATACTAAAGGTGCTTTGTTATAGTTATACCTTTCAAATCGCAAAAAAATACATCATGCCTGAAATATGCCTTCGATGTATGATTTCCAATCTCTGAATCAAAATAGAGTTGAATATATATCTAATCTGACTGGTATTATATTATCTAATAATTCGAACAAAAATAAAAACTTAGTATTTTTTCCAGGCACTCCTTACAAGCTCTAAAAGCACAAAAATTCAGTACGGGCTTGGTGTTTTATTCAACTATTTACTTGTACAAAAAATATATTGGTACTCCATATTAAAAAAATCCCAATAAGTCTTTAATATAGACTCAATTAAGTTTAATTGAATATGAAGAATGTCAATAATTGAAATAAACGATAATATGCTGCTTGGTATATCGTTTTTATGATTTAGTAAATGAAGAGTAATGGCTTGTCGTGGAAAAACTTGCCCAGGCCAATCAGCTACAACTGGAAGAACATAATCAGTTAAATAGTTAGTTAGTAAAGAGATTTTGTAAACTTGTTATAAAGCATTGATGTATAAATTCATATCCTTAAAACTTAATTCAAAAAATTCTAGAAACATTGTATCCTTCATTTTATGCTCCTCCTGCCGTTCTTTTATGTGATCATCATATTTGTGAAGAGTCATATTTTTAAGCTTCTTATCCAAGGATATTTCATGATAAAACTGGTCATTAAACATTTTAACCATTCATTTCATGTAGTAGTGATCTAAAAAAGTACATATAATTTCAGAATCAATTAGTTTTGAATTATGAATTGATATACCATCTGGAGTAACTCATAAAATAGCTATCGCATCAATGCTATTTAGTAGCAAAGTTGTCATATGTGTTGCACTTGATGTTGAACATGTATCCAGAGTTTGTTCAGTATAGATATTATGATAATCATCAATGTTAAGCACTAAGACATTATTTTTCTTGCTTTCTAGATACAAATTAATCTTAGACAGATGATTATTAGTGATAGCTGCCTTCTTTCTATCAAGATATTTTCATGAAATCGTTATACTAGCATGTGATAAGGCATCTATAGCATTCGTTAAAACCCTCATCAAATCTACAAAAAGTGAAATATCTTTCTTAAATGTTGTTAATTTAGAATTTTAATTGTCACAAAGAATATAACATTTCATTGCCAATTTTTTATCTAACTTATCTAAATATTTATTATTTCTATTATTTTCAGGAAGTGATGCATCATATATTGAATCAAAGAAACTACTTAGCCTAAAATCTTTAGCTACCATCTCTCTTTGCAGCTGTTTAAAACTATAAATTGCTAGTTTTTTTTTATATTTCTCTCAATCATATAGAAGCTTGATTAGGACACTAACGCTATCTATCCACGTAAAATTGTGATCATTTTTTACTACTTCATCTTTTAAGTTCCAAAGCAGAATGACCATGCTTTGATTTTAGCACATCAAATAACATTGATATGCTAAAGAATGATCAAGCACTTTTCATTTAGCATCTTTTTTTTTTCAAACAAGCCATTGCTTCGATTTTATCAAAAAAAAAACTTAATTAGTCATTTTTGCCTTTGGCGATAGATCGAAACTTGAAAAATGAAACAATAGGTGGATTATTTTCTATAATTTCTCTTTCCAAAATAATGTTAATTAATAAAAAAATACTTTAAACATAGAAAGGCTATCATCCTTTCTATGTCTTTTTAATCCCCTCTTATATTCTATAACATGTTCCTTAAAAATATTTGTTCCATTTACTACAATCGCATTATAGCAATTAGAACACATATACTTACCTTTATGGTCTCTATAATATGAAGCCAAAATTTCATTAGCTTCTGCTTTATTCAACATATTTTCGATTATTTTTCTTCAAGTTGTCATAAAAACATCTTCGCAGATCTTCACAATGCACTGTCTGCTTGAATCTTAAATTGATCTACCATCCATTTCCTATAAACTTTGTCTCTGATAAAAAATCTTAAATATTCTGATTATTTTTGATTAAATTTAATATAGTATGGGCCACTCAAAGGGTTTTCAGTTGCTCTCTTTCGTTTGTCAAATTTAATTGCCAATTTTTGAAAAATCACGAGAATAAAAAGTACTTTAAAACGCTTTAAAGTGTAAAAAAAATTTTTTTATTCAATTGTGCCGATCATTACTAAATCGGGGTTTGTCCACCATGCTCCCACCTGTGGGTAACCCGGGTTGGACTAATCCAAGCATTATTTTGTATACCATAAATGGCCGCCTCTAACTTTACACAACTCACATGTACAATCACTTGATTGTTACCATCGTGCAAAGTTTC